GCAGGGGAGAATTCAAAGACCACCAGAGCTTCGGTCCAAAGTGGAAAAGCTTACCTGGAGATGTGCGGCCGCCTTTACTTCTTCACCCACCTCACACAATCTGCCCTGCGAATTTCCAGCCTACCTGACCGTTACGGATACCTTGCTTTAGTCCCCGTTCTGGCCTACACTACGAATACGGATACAGATACAGAAACTCCATAATCCACCCTGCCGCATCGACCATCACCAAAAGGGTTCATTGTAAGACCCATGACAACCTTGGACAATTATTGACGGGTCAGCTCAACCTTTCCCCCGGTTTTCAGCGTCGCATTTTCATCCATATCCTGTTGCGGGACGGAGTGGGCGACGCACCAACCCTCCGGCAATATCCTCATATCCTCTTCCCCGTCACCTTCAGGGGCCCTGGAACGGGATGAGGAGAAAAATAACCCAAGTCAGCCAGCTGTCAAATAAAAAACCAAACGAGACGGCCAAATGAACCTAGTCCTGCTTGTATGTACACAGCACCTGGCAAGCGGGCGAATGGTCCGCCCGCATCAGCGCCGCCCACTCGTCCCGAGCCCACGGGGCGTTCTGATGCCGTTGAATTCTGATGTATCGGTGCATCCCCGGTTCGAACATGGCCAGCCTGGTACTGTCGGACCTGGCCCGGCCGGGTCATTACTGCCCTTGATAGAGTGCTTTTGCATGCGTCAATACTGTCTGCTTGCGGATACGTAGGGTACGAATACACACGCTTGCACTGCCTTTCATCCAAAGTTGCTTGGCGCCAAAGTGTTTACCCAGAACTTGGTTTCTTGCCATTTCTGAGAGCAGTCTAACTTGGAGTTGGTCGTCTTCGTCGACAAAATGCCAGACACCACCCTGCAGAGCGGACGAAACCCGCAAGCCAAGCCTCGATTCAGGATGATGGCCCCTGGCTGGGACTGGGTACGTATCCCATCTCTCCCAGCCCATCCCCTGCCACTCAGTCACAGTGACTCCGCGACTCCGCGACTCCTCTGATCGCTGATAGTTCACTGCCTTTTAATCTATCGCTAGCGCGGTGGTCTACATCACTTACGTATTCTCAGGAGTTTGCCTTGGAAGGCGCCAAACTCTAAAGCGCTTCCTGTCGTCAGGTTTTCGATCGTCTGATGCATCTCGACACTTGCGGAGACAGCAACTTGCATACGTGATTGAGAGAGGGGGCAGATGTATTACACGTCGACCCATAATATCATGTCGGCTTGCGCGAAGCGAAAGCTACTGGAGCGTTCGTGGTATGCGCCTAGCCCGTTGACGAGGTCCAGTTGAGTTGAGATGTAAGACCTCTTGAACACCAGATCTCGACTTTACAAGTGACGCTATTCTGCATCTGTCAGCGCCCGCTGTGAGACAAGATCGGCCAAGACGGCGACGGCAACACGATCGTTCCAAGGCAGAACAAGTTGTGGAGGCAGACTGCAGTCCGCAGACATCGCCAATATCTCCCTCGATCAATTCTGTCTTGATTCTCGGAGTCCGGACCTCTGCATAGCGGACACTACGAAACCCAGAACCAAGACTCAAGACCTCCGACGAACTGGTACTTGGGTCTGGCTCCTCTCTCTATGGGCCCGCCACGTTCGCTACCTACCATCGCCCCTCCTCCGGCGTGCCTATGTTGATTACTCCGTACCTCCGCCGGTCGCCCACGAACGTTCATGCGCGTCTGGCTCTAGCGGCTGACCCTGAGCGCACGCGCGTTCGTCGTATGCATTGCTGGCTAGACAAAGATGGTGGCAGTGGTTGTGGCTCATACACAGCAGCCTCTCGGAAGATAGGTAAGGCGTAGAGCATTTCTTGACAGGGCTCAGACCGAAGCGAGTCTAGGAAGGGCGGTCAATTTGTCGCCCGTACCACCTTGAATGAATTGATTATCTCGGGCTCCGCATCGTGTCGACCATCTCCTTGAACAACCCACATTGTACAAGTTGCAACATACGTAGTATTCAACGAAATGGAGCACTGGAGCACTGGAGCACGCCCAGAGATATGGAGGGGCCCGGGTGCGGCACAGGAAAGAGAGAGAGCGAGGCTTAACTCGTCCAAGACTCCCAAGTGGAGGTGACATCTTGCAGGAGAACCCACTCCACGTCACAGCATATCCATGCCATTCCTCCCCTCAACACCCGAGCCCAAAACACACTCATTCTCATCTTCTTGCACCCCCACCGGGAATGGGGAAAGGAAGACATGTCGAGAGGGGCAAGGGAGGATAATGGGGCGTCAGTGGGATGGTCCATATCCAGATCGGCGTCTACGAGGCACGACACGGCTGGCGCAATATCGCTGCTTCCCAGGTCTCTGGTATTGTACACACGGCCTGCTGCCGTCCTTGGATCATTAGATGGTCCCATGTTGCTCTCAAATTAGAATAAGAATACTGCTAGTGTAGCAGACACCCGCCGACCAGGCCGATACCCTTCACCCCCGTCCGTCCCCATCGCACCTTTCAGATCAACAGCATGTGCGTTTGGTTGGCCGTTGTGATGGTTTTGCCAAGTCGGGGGGATTCCTGTCGCTTCCCTCTCCCATCGGCTAATTTATCACATCGCTTAAGATAGCAGCATGCGCTTAGAAGATCCCTTCCTCGACGAGACAGTTGAGCTGTGAGGCTCTGGGCTTCTATCATTTTTGATACATGCCACGAACAGCGATCAAGGACCAGGGCCGGCTGTTCACTTCGGGAACCCGGTGGAACTAAGTAATCATGTATTGATTGCATTTGTGGATGACGGGCTGTAATGATTGACCGACCGTCAGGTCGACCGCTTTCTGTTGTTTCTTTTTGTTTTTCTTGTCTTTTTTTGGCGATTCTTCACAGGTACATTGGGGGTCTCTGCTCATCATCTTTTCAAGGTGTTGCATGGGACTGGCCGAGTTGCTTGTCACCTCGATAGACACGAACTGCTAACCATACCGGATGAAGAGAAGAGGGAGAGGGTCCAAGCAACGTTGACGATACTGCGACCTTCTCTTCCCAGGTTTTTCGATGCGCCCATTCAGGCTTGGCCTTGCTCGTTTCCGCTCGGATCGAGGAAAATTGAACACAGAGTTCACCGGTGTAGGAGTGTGAGTGGATACGCCCAACTCGATTCTACCTTACTCTGAATCTATGGATCTTTTTCTGCTCACATCAGGAGACGAGAGAGATTGGCCTCTTTGCAACAGAGAGATTGAAGGCAGAAATATGAGGTGGGAAGCGTTCGAGCGATAGATTGAATTTCATTTACAAACCACCACTACAGCAGGGCGTTGCAGAAGGAGGACGGGCAGAGCGGGCACTCGCGCGGTTTGTGCGTCTATCCATTCGGCAAGGGCGCCTCCCCTTGTCTGAGGGACCCCCCATGTTAACCGTCTACGGTTCCCTGCCCCTCTGTCTCTTATTGCCAATTGGAACTCGTTGGTACCACCATCTACTATGGCAAATGTGGGCTCTTTCTTGTCTGATGGGCGCGGCGATCCGGACATAGACTTTTTCTTTACCTTGTCATCCTGTCTCGATCTCCTTCTTGTCTCCGGCCGAGAGAGAGCTGACCTGGTCAAGTCTTTGGTGGTGCGGTTACCGGTCCCCTAGCTAAGCCCTGTCAACAGTTCAATGGGAACATGGGTCCTTGTGATGTCAGCAGGGCGAAAGACAACACAGCAGCAGCCAGCGCCCGGCCCGGCTCGGCTCAGTATGGTCAGAGGAGATGGAACACATCCTATCGGACAGCATTAAGCCAACCTAGTGACCAAAGCGAGAGACAGAGAGAGGGACAAGCAGAAGCAGAGAAAGTGTAAAACGGTTAAGACGGCTTTCCTTGATTGGACCATGCTCATCTGAGGAGACAAAGAGAGAAGAAAGGCACTTTCTGTCGACAGCTCTTGCAAGGTCTTTTACAGCTCATTTGCATACTGCATAGCGAGGAGCAAAAGAAAAGTCTTGGACTTTGCAGGTTGGAGACCCTCTCTCTCTCTCTCTCTCCATCTCAATGAGCCAAAAGAGATAGACCTTGACCCCCCCCCCCCCCTCTTCGGTTGGATCAAGTCTCATCACTTGTATGAAGGAGCTGCAGGACGGAGTTTCCGTAGTATGACCATGCCATGATGCGTAATGGGGTAATGGGGGTGGTCACTGGATGGATGGGTGGCGGGTGGTTTGTCTGAGGTATCTATCCCATCTCCCATCTCTCTCTCTCTCTCCCCTTTCGTCTACAGCCCAGCCATGCAGAAAACGCTCCCGCAGGCGAGGAGCAGGGGTAGCCAACATAGAGTTTTCGACTGTTGCCGTTCTTTCCAAGATTTGGTCTTGGTATACTTGGTATTACTATTAGGTATTCTGGTTCGGTTCCTCGGATTAGTCCAGACTCCCAAACACGCAACCGAAGTTGACCCTCTCTCTCGGTTCGAAGTCTCTCTCTCTCTCTCTCTCTCTCTGTCTCTCGTCGGAGTCTCTGTCCCTTTTCTCACTGCGGCATCTCGTTGCGGCATTGTGGTAGCCGGGGGTGTACTATAGTCTATACTCCCGTAGTGTTGTGTGACAGGCAAAACGCGACTCGAGGGAGTTGATGATCGGCGGTCCCTATGTTGTCATCATCTGCCTTTCTAGACGACAGAGTTCCATCCCGAAACTACCCAACATCAACTAGCGACCCCATCTCTGTCAAATCTCATGCCCCTTCCCTCCTGCCCACACGTCTCCCGCGCGCGCTCGACTGAACTCATGAAAGCATCGTGGGCACATGATGTTGCAACCAAGTCCTTGGAGTTAAAGATCACGAGTCGATAGGACCACTTTCTCTCTCCAAAGCATGTGTTTGTGTAAAATCTGTTCATCAAATTTTGTGGTTTGTTTCTGGCGAGGTCTGGATGAGATTTATCCTCTCCAGCCCGCTTAACTATGGTTAAACATCAAAAAGTCCATATTCACATTCTTTTAATTCCATCCCAGAATGTGTGTGTATCATCCCCCGTTTCCCCAAGAAAGTCTAAAACCGCCCAATGGTTTGGTACCCAAAATGATGATAAACAAAAGGCGAGGAAATAAGAAAACCTCCAAAAATCCTGTTAAGCGCCTTCCTTTCTCCAAGTCTCTCGGCAGTTTGAACAACAACAAAAAAGCAGTGATAATTTGGGGTTGGTCGCAGAAGTCCTCCACCCTATTTCTGATGTACCGGTATCGCGGGTAAAAAGAAGAAGGAAAAAAAGTCGTGAGTGAAAAGAATAGAAGCAATCCCAGCCACCATGCTCTCCTGGCCCGCATTCGAATGCCATGACGAAGCCAACCCGTTTTTGTTTTTATCTACTACAACAGACCCAATCAGGCAAAGTGTGTGTGCGCGCGCGCGCGCGCGTGTGTGGTTGTGTGTGTGTGTTTGATGTGTTTCCCCCTTGAGAGGTCCCATCCCATTCCAGCTAGAATGAAACTCCATTCTCGTAACAAAGGAGGAAGGAGGACGTGAAAGAAAATTGGAGACTAATAGCTCCGAGTTGTGAAGTATGGACAAGTAAATAGGTGAAGAATTTGGCGCCAAGTATCGTATCCGTCTCAGGAACCTTCGACTGCAACACAGCCACGAAGTTCGGGGTAACGGCGAACAAAGTTCTCATTGAGGCGCCAGTTTTCGAGGCGCATTGCGTGTGTAGTAAACGTGTCGCTAAGCCACATCTCTCCAGATTGCGGGTCGACCACCAAGGCGTCAATTGGCCGGCATGGCCAATTGATCAGTCTCAAGCTAGACGAGTATACGCCTTGAAATTCTTCGTTCGCGTACAACTCCTGGCGTTCGATAATGGCAGTGCGCAGAGGTGCCCAAAGGATGAGATCAACCCACTGAGGATGCGGGATTCTAGTCTGGCACGGTTTCGGTGTGAGTTCAGGCACAATGGCCTGGTAGGCCTCACGCGTTGGGTGCACCAGCCAGGCGATGGCTCGTTGGATGACGGCGAAGACCGCTAAGCGTTCAATGACGTTGGTGACACCTGCCTTGTTGACGAGAGCGGTGATGAGCTCAGCCATGGGGTGCTTGACGCCGGGACCCGTGACTGTTGTGGAAGCAGCTCGATCAAGGTCGGCTAGCTGGCATCGTGGAGGTTCTGTTGTAGGCGAAGCCGGATGATACTCGAGGAAATTCTTCACATTGACCCTAGCAGGTCGGAGGAGGTTGTCGAGAGACTTCAGTTGTGACAGTCGGCGGCAGTCCTGTATGAAGCCGACAATCAACTGGTCGATTCGACAAGTCGGCGGGACGATGAGGGTCGGAATCTCCCAAAGGGTGGTGCCAGGCTGGCGAATCAATGAGCTGACGGTTGTTGGTAGTACACCGGAGTTGGATACGAATTCCACGACTGCTGGTGATGAAGATACGGCTGATGATGATGAGAGATGGGAACCTGCGACTGATGAGGCATTGAGTGGTGACTGTGAGGGTATCCAGCGTCTAGAAGCTGAGTGGTTAGCGTCTCAGAATTGCGTTGCAACCCAACCACCGGACATAGGGAAGACAACTTACCAGAGTCGACATCATCATATTCACTCATCTTTGCCGGAATGCTTCGGGCATCCATCATCGGCGCGGGGACGCTCGTGGGGATGTAGCCTGCGCCGTACTCATCGGTGTTGGCGGATGATGACGGGCTTGAAACGGTCGAAGGAACGGAGACGGGAATGCCTGGGCCCCATGACTCTGACGCATCCGGCATGGGCACGTAAGAGGGACCGAGTTCTTGCATGACGTTGTAGTCACCGTTTGATGGAAATGGCGAGGATCGAGGACTGGGGACTGCGCCGCTAATAGAGCTCAGATTGTCGTCGTACACTGGAGCCGAGTCAGCACGAACCAGAGGCAGCCAGGCAGAAGACGAGGCAATGGAAGCAGCCGTACCTGAGTTTGGGTAGGACTGCCCGTTGGGAACGCCCATGCTCTCTCTGAGCTTGAACAATTCCTCTTCAAGTGCCTTGTTCTTGCGCAAAAGCTCCTGGACGGTCTGGCTCTGATCGCGGCCGCGCTCGCTCTTGAGCTCCTCAAGCTCGCGCTCAAGACGCTCAATGTGCTCTTTCGTTCTAGCTCTGATGGCGCGCTGTGCTTCTCTGTCATTGGCACGCTTACGCGCAAGCTGGGAGGGCGTCAGGGTTGAGACGCTTCTGGTGCCTGTTGAGGAAGGCGTCCAAGTCAATATATTATCCGTACATGAGAACGTGGAAGGGGACGAAGGTGGTAGAGTAGGAGCTAAGGAGGGAGGTGGGGGATGATCGAGGCGAAGACGGCAGAAGGGTAGAACCGCATAACCGCCGCCGCCGTCGTCGACATCTCATGAGGGGTGCTGGTGATGCGTACCCTTGCGCTTGGTGGGCTTCGTAGGCTCTGCAGAAGCTGATCGTGTCATGTTGTCGGCGGCGTACTTCTCGTCGTGGTGTGCAACAACGGTAATGGTAACAGGTCTGGATCGAGTGTTGGCAACGGCAGTATGGGCCATGCTCTAAGGCAGAAGACTGAATGTAGGAAGAGAGAGACGGGTCTGGCGACGAGGTGAAGTTGTTTGTTGTTCGAGTTGTCAAGGCAGGGATCAAATCAAGAAGATCGAGAGGAGCGCATCTTGGAGTTATAAGATCTATTGACGACAGGAGCAGACACAAGAACAGGCCCTTCGAATGCCGGCGGCAAAGTAGTTTCAGGGCAGCTAGGAGAGACGAGTACCTCAGTACGAAGGTACGTACTAGATGAGCATGGATCTAGGGGGTAGAGAAGGAGACAGGGCCAGTGACTTTTGGTAAAGGTTGAGGATGAAGAGAGACAAGACAAGCAAGAAGAGGAAAAGGTACGTACTGTACCGTACCGCTACCTCCTAGGTCCATGAAGGGCACTAGAAGTAGCAGCACATAAGGTAGGGAAGTCTGGAGCAGGGGTTCGATGGAGATGCAAGCATCCGGGCTAAAGCAGCCCAGTCTCGAGGGCAAGGACGTGGGACTGTACCGTAAGTGAGGTGGTAGGTAGGGGAGTGTATTCGTAGGTGTAGGGTGAGAATGGAAAGGATGGCAGAGCAGAGAGATCACGCCGCGCAGAAAGTATCCAAGGAGCCGTAGGTACAACGGGTCCTGAGTGCTTCGAAGACAGAGGAAGGGTTGAGAGTATCGGTGAAGAGACGTAACTTGGCACATGACAGTCGATGTTGGGCACAGACATGGCGCAAATTACTAACTCACTTGAGAACAACTTACAGATCTCCCAAGGATGGGCTGGGGGATAGAGGGGAGTGGCAGGGGTCTGATCAGAGGAGAGGGACAAGCCAGCGGCAGGGAACATGGGAGAAGGCGAAGAAGAGGACGAGAGAAGCGGGTGAGGCAAGGCAGCGAGCAGGACGGGACCGGGGGGGTGGAAGTTACACAGATGCACTCGACTGCAGCGATGTAGACATGTACCTTCCGACTGCCAGTTACCCATCGGCCTCGACGGGGCAGGGGTGTGAAGAAGGAGGGGGTGTGGGAGAAGAGGGGGTGCGTGATGGTAAGAGGGGGCGTGAGATGAAACCAGGGGAGGCGTGAGGGACAACCTTGTGTGAGGTGAATCTAGGAGAACAACAGAAGTGAGAACTGTGAGATGCCTCTTTACCTTAGGTAATGTGATGGATGGGCCACCACATTCGCATGCCTGGGATACGGGTGCCTTTTTTTTTTTTTTTTGCTGCGTGTGCCTCATAGTGGGAAACTACGTGTTTTGACGCGGAGGCAACAAGCTTCTTCAAGTTACTTTGAAGGTGTAACTAGTCGCCGCGGAAATCGAGCGAGGAATTGCTGCGAGCCAGATTCCGCCGCTGTGCCGGTATCCAGGCTGGGCAGCATTCTTCCCCCAAACCAAAGAACATTCGTTCGGTTAGGTTTTGGGTTTGTCTTTCCTCTGGTCCTCGTTGTGTCTGTCTGGAGACTGGAGAGAGAGAGAGAGAGAGTAGGTGTGAGAGCGAGCGAGAGTTGGGGCAGGGTAACGGGAAGGAAGTGCTCTCTCTCACAGATACTGTATCTGCAGGGGGAGATCCTCAAGCAGTAGCAGTCGATGTGGGTGGGCAACCTCCTGCCCCGTGATTGTGGCTCTTGCTGGCTCGAGTCCGACTCTCGATCTCAGCGAACGGGTTCCCGGTGGGGTTGCTTATCCGTACCGCAGGTAGGGAAACGTAAACGGGGTCAAAGGTAAGTAAGGCAAGCATAGAGTTGGGAAAAGGTTAGCTGCTGGGCTGGGTGAGGTGACGAAGGGCAAAGCCGGCAAGGAATGGGCAAAGCAAGGCAAGGCAAAGCCAGGGTTACGGGAAAGGAAAAGGTACCCAGGTGCCTTGTCGGATCCGTTGAAGTTGACAACCAAATCAAACTCCGACTCCTCCTCCCGCACTTGACCTTGTATGGTCTTGCGGATTGCCTTGCCCTGCCATGGCCCATAAACGCTGCTATACCCTCCCATGGGCCATGGCCCTGTCCTGTCCGCCTTATCCATAAATGCGTATGAGGAGGTGGGCTCGCTGAAGAAAGACGAGATAATCCCGTCTGGGCTTACATATTGCGTTGACCTGACGGCTCGGAACGGGGGGGCCTTGCAAAGCGGGTGACGAGTCCTGTTGAATACCAGCATCTACGAGGACGAACGAGGAACTCTGAAAAGCAACAGTCCCGTCCGGCTGATGCTCGGAATAGCCACACCCATGGCATGTCCATGGCGGCATGGCCTGTGTGTGGCCAGCCCATGGAACGCCCAGACCAAGAAAGGTGAGTTAATCTCCAATACCTATCTCGTTCAAATCCGTATTGTGTACTCCGTGTGCATTCGTAGAATTGAGGGGCGGAAAAAGACATGTCCAGATCCTCAGAGGCTGGAGTTTGGGGTGATCATGATGCGTGTTTGGTTTGACCTGTGGTTGACCTCAATCCCAGCCCGAACACCACCATCCGCGCGCAATGTCGTCCCATTCTACGAAAGGCTTAGGTTGAAGAAGACGAAGAGCCAGCCAGGCGTGCCAGTGCCAATATCAGTGCCGGTGCCAGTGCCAGGCCAGGCTGAGGCCAGTAGGGCCACACGGCATAAGCCTCAATTCTGCTCGAGGCTCAGCACTGCTGCACCGCTGCATTTGCTAACGCATGCCCAGCAGCCCATGGAAACCTTCGGCCAGCCTCCGATGACCGGGGGGTTTGCGATACAATGACGAAATGATGTTTTTTTATCCTCTCTTGCCGCGCCGACAGGCCTTGTCATCTTGGACTTCTCCGTAAGGGTTATCACCTACTTGGTCTATAGGGGTAAGTTTAAACTCCCTACCAGGTAGCGTGGGTCTGGCCAGGGTAGAGCAGTGACTCTCAATGGCCAAATTTGTGTTCGACGTGCACAAGAATCTCGAAAGTAATGCTGCTGATGTAATCTCGAAAAGCACGGGCGAAGATACCTGACAAGGGGGTTAAACTTTGGCCTGATACCGTAGTACATACGGATGCTAGGAAGCACTCAAGGGCCAAGGCGTATCCGATCCGTACAGGGAAAGAGAGAGACAGAGAGAGCGAGAGTACTTCTGTATCTCTCGGACCCGGAAAGCACCAATGGGCAGCAGAGCGCAGAGGAGCGGCCGTGGGCGGGAAGTGCGCGCTCAGGGATGGTTTAGCAAAACACAATCGCATACACTGCCCATATGTGATGTGAGGGTGTGAGTGGTCGATGAAGTAGGTACGAAGAAGTGTGTGTATCCGAGAAGGGAATGGAGGAGGATGGACTCGCTCTCTCTGGGTATCGAATTGATTGTGGGCACACACACACGCTGGTCGAACATTCGTATGCTACCTACTACACTCACTCTCGCTCATATAGACACACACACACAAACACGCGCGCGCGCAATACCTAGATGAGGAGAGGCATGTCAAGTTCCATTATGAGTTAACCGGGAAGTGAGTGAGGAACGAAAGGTGAAGTGTGAGGTGAGTGTGTGAGGATCAGGGGCCCGCCGCCGGTGAGGTCAGTCGGGGCCCAGAGGTAAACTGTGGGAAAAGGTGGAGAGATACCTGACGATAGGTGAAGGGGGTGGTACGTATCCACTACGCGAGAAATAAACTTTACGCTAAAGCCAGATCTGTCGTAGCTTGGTGGGCGCCGATACGCGGCCCAGCAGCGACCGCAACAGCCCAGTTAGAAGGTCAGCATCGAGGGAGAGACAGCGTAGAAAAGTGGTCTGTTACTGGATACCTAAGTCCTAAGGTACACCATTATCGACCGGGGAGAGCAAGAGCACTGAACAGCGCTGAACAGCACCTCACCCTCGAACTTGAGGCCCCTCTTTCTCTCTCTTCCTCTTCCTCTTGCTCTGTTTCTGGCACTCTGTGAGAGACTGCGACCAGCAGGCTGCTGCTGCTGCTGCTGCTTTCATCTCGTGCTCCAAAACATGGTACTGGGGAAACTTCGTCGTCGGTACGTACCCGGCTACCATGAACCATCTCTACCTACCTTACAATGCCTGGGCCAAGCACCATGCAAGTTGCACGGAAACCTGCTCCCACTTCGCTGCTCCGGCGGCGGCCAGCCCGACCGGTACCTTGTCCCCTCCACTACATCCAACCGTAACACGCTTGTCTCTTTTAAGAGAGGGTCGTCTTGCGGCCTGCCATGGGGCCATAGGCCATGGCTTGTGTCGTCGGCCGACTTTGGGGGGGATGGGGGGAAGAGCTGCGTGGTGTGCGGGCAGTAAGATTGGCGTATCCGTACCGATAGGCAGACCGCACTTACCTTGCGAAAAGAACCGAGAAACTCTACGGAGTAACTAGCCATCTCTATATTTTCGCATTCGAAGCGACGAGCAGCAATAGCCAATTTGGGCAGTTCGCAAGATTTGGCACCATGTGGACAAGAGGCTCCAGAGTAAAGAAAAAACACAAATGCCCGCCGCCGTCGGCCCTTCTCACTCAAAGGGCGCGATACAAAGTGGTGTCATAGAACCTCGAGGGGTCTCCTACCTAGTAACTGTAGCAGAAACCGTTTGCCAAATGGAGTATTCCGGTGCGGAAACCCTACCTAATCTCACCTAGTCCACCTCCACTGGCACAACATCCTCCGTCCGTCCAGACGTACGCAGTACACACTACCTACACAGTAGAGAGGTTGGAGCCACTGGCGTATCGATCGCTAGTGCATTGCGTCGCCCCTTTGGAGAGGAAAAACCCAAAAAAAGAGGGAGCCTTGGGTCTATCTTCTGAGGCCTTCTAGCACCTCCATTGCATAGGCATTAGAATCCATACCTAAGACGAGAATTGCGACCTGACGGCGGCGGCGGCGGTTTCGAATGGCGTGTTCGGGCCTAACGAGCAAGAGAGACAGAGACATTCTAGCTCGCCGACCAGAAACATTGAATACCAACCGCCCTGTGCCATCAGTGCCGGATCCATTGTCAGGAACTTATCGGCTCACCCGCTTCACATTCGTCGTCCGTCTTGTCTGGCGACATTTCTAGCTTTCGGTGAGCCACGCCGCGATGACATTTCATCCAACGGCCAAGACGGTCTTTGCAGCTAGCACGTCCGAAGATCGGATCCAAACTGTACCTGGCCTAGATTTCACGACGGCTCTCCAGCCTCGTCGCCCAAAGGTTCCCAGGGCCTCCCATTTGAGCCCCGATCGGTTCCGTTGGACACATGCCCACTATCGAACGGCTTCCTCGGATTCCGTCGTGGGTAGGCCACGCGAAATTGAGATATTCTTGTCTTTTCACCGCTTTCGAATTGGCTGGCTTGGAGAGATGGAATTGGGCATGAGCAAGAGAGCGGCGACGGCGCGCGCACACACACACGCACACACGCGGGTACATACACCTCCATGTTGCGACTGAATGGCGGCGTCCATCATGGTCGTTCCAATCATCGGACCTGGTTCCGGTCGCCCAATCCCACAGGATGCCGCTACTGAACTGCCGTTGTCAATCTTTTTCCCCGATTGCTATATTCCGCCTTTCGGAATGCAGGCTCATGAAGGTTGGCGCATACGGCACCCCTGGTCACAATTTGTCTACAAGTCGCAGTCTCTTGCCATTGAACGTTAGTAGATGTGAGCCCAGCAACAGCACCACGGCCGGCCGACCGACCGTACAAGGCCAAAAATTTGGGGGTGTTTGTCTTCTCCCTTGTTGCCGAGTCTTATGTCGGCATCCTGTCTCACTTTTTCAGCTTCGCGGCACGCCCTTCTGACCGAGCCAACTTTGATTCAGCGCGGTCAGCGTCTTATTCGCAGAAACATTCGCTCTCGCGGTGCGGCGTGTTGACCTCCGCCAGATAGGTACGGTATGCACAATCGACCGAATGCCTGTCCTTGGCTGCCTGCCCAGCGAACCCGAGATCGCCGCTGTCAACGCGTCCTGTACCGGATTTCGCAGGTGTCTGCAACTTTGCGTAGGTGTGTGTGTATGCGTGTCTATGTTGCTTCTCGTCCATTGTTTCTTCTTTGCTTTTTTTCCCTGGTCTTTTCTTATTCTGTGGTGCGCCTCCTCCTGCTTCGGTGTGTAGGAGAACTCTCGGGTTGCGGTGTGAGAACTTGAGATGCGCACAGGTACTGAAGGGCAATGCGCCGGCATTCTCTCTGACATGCGTGGCGGGCTTCTCGAAGGTCCATGGAACTCTTCTGTCTGGGTTCTGCATTGCATCGGGCGGTCGCATTTTTCTTCTAGCCTCTCGTCGTTCCAGGGTCATGTCCGAGGACACCACCATCGCGATGAGTCTGGCGCATCGTCGAAGAGGCGAGAAGGGAAAACGAAGCATGGGCTGTCGCCGAGCTGGATTGCGATTCACAGGGTTTCCAGGCTGGCGGGATTGTGGCGTTTCGGGGGGGGGGGGGGGGGGGGGAGGAGGGTGGGGAAGGGGGGCGCGTGTGTGGGTGGGGGGTGGTTGGGTGTGGTGTTGGGTGGGTGGGGGGGGGGGGGGGGGGGGGGGGGGGGGGGGGGGGGGGGGGGGGGGCTCCTTCCCCTTTTCGAGAATGGGAAGTCTGCTGATGTGTCTGAGGTTGATCTGTTGGTTCTCATCTCCCCGCGCCCAAAAAGTCTCACTCTACCTGCCAACTGGGTTCAGTGATGAGTACTTTGTAGATGTTTCCAGCTGTCAATTAGTTCTTGTGTTCCCCCAATCGCGGGGCAAAAGACCCGTCTGGCTCTGGCGGCCCTCCCTCGTTGTTCCTTCTTCTCCCTGAGGTGGCCCTGCCACATTTGCTTCTCATTCTTCCCCAGCCTGATCGTCCGGCGTCGTGAATTCCAGCAGTTTGGTCGTACAAGGCGTCTCGTGCCGGCCTCCCGAAGCTGTTCGCATTTTTGTTCATGAGATGTGGTTGCTTGCGAGTTATGTCATAGGCGTTCGGTTGTTGGTTGATGAGGGGGTTCGGACACGGCGAAAGGCGTCGAGAACGTCAACAAAGCAAAGAGGGTATCCGGAATCAGCGATTTTATGAGTTATTTCGGGGTGGGCTTAGCAATGCCGGCCCGGGGGTGATGAACCCCTGATGAATGCCGTCTCGTCGGCGCAATATCCAGTTCGGACCTCTGTTATGTCAATTCTGACTCAGAAAGCCAGCCGTTGTATGTTTCGTTTCCTCTGTGAGTTCCTTCGGGAGGATACCTGTTAGACCAATGAGGCCGGAATCCCCAGAAGAAGAAAAAACAGGGCCTGCAGCAGACCCTGCTTGTAAGACCCGGCGCTGTGCCTGGCATGCGCCGGGCACCCTTCCCTCATCCTCGAAAGCCTCGAAGCTCCAGCTGGTTAGGGTGTCGGGGTGTTAGGGCAGGGCGGGCCAGCTGAGAGCAATGGGGGGAGGAGTGAGAGTGAGAAGGAGGGGGGGAGGGGGGGAGCGGTCAGGCGGTGGGAAACGGCGGAAATCTCTCCGGATTCTGAGAACGAGGTACCGGAACTGCTGAGGTACCTCGACCAGGTCCAGTACTCCAGCGCCTCCTTGACCCAAATCCAGGCGATACACGCGCTAGCAGCCTAATGACGACCGCTTTTTTCTTCCGAATCAACCAATCACTGGCTCAACCGGTGCTTTGCGGATCTCGCTCCGTAGTGCACCACAGTACAAGTGCCAGGGCCAGTGACTTGGCATTTCCGGGCTTATGGTCTGAGTGTGGTGTCGGCTGCGGGAGAGACAGTGAGACTCCAGAGACCCTGGACAAGTGCGAATCCTTCAGACTGGGACTGTCAGCGGTCATTCCGTCGCGTACGGAATTTCCGTACAGAATTTCCGTACAACTACCAGCAATGGACATCATGTACATCATCGCGCATCTAGAACCTTGTATGTCTCTGACGAAAGAAAATTGATATTGAGCCATGTTTGGCGATGTTCCTGTACAATGCAGTAGGAGTGCACGTATGCTCAAGCAGAGCTCTCTATTCGTAGCTGTATCTGTTGTTGCGAAAGAAAGAAAAAACTGGTCGTAAATGCCTCGACCCGGGGTATCGAATCGTCCCAAATCCAACAGAGAACTCGATCAGTGGAGTCAATCAATCGGCCCGTCCGGGACCGTGGTAAATGCTGTTATGTTTGTTCTCGCCGTACATATTCTCAGGCGACACTTTCAGGGTCTGCCTCTGCCGCTGGGTCTGCGTCTGGTACTGCCCCCACCAGCTCTTCGAGTCCTCCGACCTCCGTTGGTCCGTTAATGCCGTCCGGAGGAAGGGCCCACGCGGGCATCGGACTGGTGTAGCTCCAAGCCCCTCCGGCATCTTCGTAACGGAGGCTGTGAAGCCAGAGCGAAAGCTCGTGCTCGCCGGGGTCTGTGTAGAGCGGCGTATCGCAAACGTCGCAAAGCTCTCCTGACAGCTTTTCAGCCCTTCTCTTCTGGTACAGGTCCACCAGTTCGTCGTGATAGGCCACAGCGTCGGCGATATCTTGTTTGCCCATCCTTTCTAGGCGTGACATGATGTCTTCGTCCGTATTCTCGACTGCATCCGAGTCGTTGCATCCCAAGTTAATTCCCCAAACTCTTTGGTTGGCATACAAGGGGTCGTTCTCAATGGGATGCCCAACAAATTGCAGATGCACGCGGATCTGATGTGTTCTGCCAGTCAAGGGCAGGCAGCGAACGATTGAGTAGCCCTCTTTCTTGATCCAAGGCCGGCGTTCCTCGTCCGCAAGTCGTTCCGCACTCTTTGGCTCAGCTGCCTCCGAGTCATTCAGAGTGTCCGGCGGGTAGTAGGCCAGACGTTTGAAGACGGTACGGGCCGACTTTCCGTTGGCTCGCACGCGGTTGAGGCCTAGTCGCGGGGATATTTGGAGGATAGGCTGATCGCAGACAATTTCGCCATCAGGAAACTTTCCAGCAACGCGCGCCAAATATTCTTTGCGGACCGTATGAGCTCTAATTTGAGCAGTGAGCTTCACTGCTGCCTGTGGTGTCTTGGCGACGAAAAGAATTCCACTGGTGAGGCGGTCCAGGCGATGGCACGGGTAGGGCAGGAAATGCTCGCCTCGCTCAGACTTCATGATCTCGATAAGTGTGTTGTACTTGTATCTACCAGCAGGGTGTACCGGTACGCCGGATGGCTTATTGACAACGATCATCTCGTCATCTTCATGAATGACACGAATCGGCTCACCTGTGACAGGGGGCTCATGGCGATGAATTGTGTGATTCACAAGGTCTCCATTCTTGACCAGATGATCCGGGCCGACTGCCTTTCCGTTGACAACGATGGCTCCGGTTTCCATGGCATACCGGTAGTACTCTAGGGTGCGGTCCCTGAATTCATCCTCAAAAATGTCGATCAGCTTCCGACCGCGCCAGCGTTGCTTGGCCCAGGTGTGGTAGGTAAAGTGATAAGGAGCAACTCTACGGAGACCGTCCTCGAAGAAGTAAGGCCGAGGCCACATGTCGCCGGTAGGCGTCGTCAAGACTTCAGGCAGCTCATTGGAAGCTTCAGACGGTTGGGCATCCGGTAGCTTGGCTGGTTCAGCAGCGGGAGCAGCAGCCGACGGCGGGGCCGCAGCCGACGTCGGTGCCATTTGATCAGAAGCCATGGCAGGCATAAGAGATTCCCGTCGGAATGGCAGCCTTGCCAAGGACCAAACTGAACGCAAGAGGGTAGCCAGGATTGATCAGGTAGTCAAGTTGTGAGGCGTGGTGTGCGATGGTGTAACAATAAGTGGCGTATTGTGGAACTGTGCGAAACTTCGACTAGTCGTAAGTAAGTAGTGTTTGAGAAAGTCGCTTGCTACTTGCCTCGAGGAACCTGGATATCATCTACTGCTAACAAACTTTGCATGTGTAGTGAAAGGTATCTCGAAAGAGTCACAAATTCTTGGCGGTCAGGCATGGCAGAACTTTGCTGGAGTTGGATTTCTGGTGGGCGAGATCGGGAAAGGTGGATTAGCAGAAGCGTGATTGGTCACTGGAAAGACCTTGTGTAGTTACATAATCTCAGCTAGAGCCTACCATTTTCCGGCTCAGGTAATCAGCACCCCTGGGCAGGTATTCCGGCTCTGAACCAAATAGGTCTGCCGACATTGGTGATTGGCTCCTGTTAAGTTGACGGCAACATGACATTCTGCCTCGGCTCAGCTAGGAACTCTACTGTGCTGCAAGTCAACTGCGGCAATCAAAAGTCTCAACAATTTCTCCACAACTCTTAGTGTGAAGCTACGAAGGCTTCTTCATCGAAAGGTTTAAAGTCACGAGCTGAATCACAACTCAATCGAGAAAAGTGCCGATAAGGCAATGCGCGTTTACCAGTGACGTCTGACTGAGCATCCTCCATCTCTTGTCCCTCCCTTGTGTTTCTGAGCCAATACTACCCCAGCAAGGGCCAGTACCTTCGGCATCACCGCCTACAACGTGCTCCAAATATCCGATCTCTCTCCATCATCTCACAAAGCACCGCCATGGCCAGCAACAAGCAGTTAAAGCAGCGTCGAAGGGGGGACTACGGGTACATCCTAGACTACCGGACACGATGGTGAGTTTACCTCCATCCCGCCATGGTTATCACAAGCTGTCATTGCGGCTTCCCTTTCTACCTACTCCTCGGTGCCTTTCATCCTCCCTGCTATACCTCAAAACGGAGGGACCGAGCCCATTCCTCGCAAAGCTTCAAGGGGGGGCTTGTCCGTGCTGCAAGCGGACGCCCTCCCTCCTATCCTTTCTTTCGCCAACCTCTCACGCCTGTGGTGCAAAGGCGAGGGCGCTCTTCGCAGCGTATCAGCAGCCGTCCATTTTCTCATCATTATCATCCCCTCACACTTCGCTTTCATTCGTCTGCGCTTTTGCTGCTTGGGCAGAGATTGACAAGGTTTCTTAGGGCCGATAATGATATGTATCAGCACATGAACAATAGCGTCTACAACTTCCTGTATGCTTCTGTCGATCAAGCTAATGTCCGCGCGGCGTCCAGCTAAGAAACTGCAGATACGACTCCGTGGTCAACGCCTACCTGATCGAGCACTGCGGCCTATCTCCCTTACGTTCTGATCAGTACGGCCTTGTCGTACACTCACACAGCGACTACTTTGCTTCGATTGCGTACCCCGCAGTCGCTCAATTAGCGCTGCGAGTGAACAAGTTGGGGAAGTCAAGCGTCACCTACGAAATTGCCTTGTTTGAAAAGGGAGTGGACGAGGTGAGAGCAGTCGGGGAGTTTACCCACGTCTTTGTCGAGAGATCTACCGGTCGTCCAACCGCATCCGGAATGGAGGACGAAATGCGGAGGGGTCTACAGCGACTTCTGATGGTGGATGGTAGGGGAAACAAGCTCTAAATTGAACTCTATCACCCACCCACCTGTACCATGGAGCTTATCTCCTAACAAATTCCTCTACCAGTTTACAGCTGCAAGCTCAGCTTTTGGATTGCGCCATCCTGCTCACCACTCGTGAAGATCTTCTCGAGGAACTCCAAGTCCGCCAGCGCCTCCTCAGCTGATTGCAGGGGGTTGGGTGTCCCAGCAGCCAAACCTTCAGCCCAGGCCTTGACCTCCTCCTTTACACCACTCGTCTGTTCAAAATGAGTTGTTGTTGCCTCGCCGTCAAAGGGCCTGACGGTGAGATCGTGACTCGACAAGGTCACACTGCCGTTCTCGCCCGCCACGTG